ATATAATACATATTTTATAAAATAAAACATATATCTGTAAAATATATATCTTCATATATCACCTAATACATATGGATTTTATTACAATTTTTAGAAGCAAATATTTTACATTATTTAATCAATATTCTGTTATCTTATCTAATTCGATAAATGCGAATTTCTATACTCAGTCCATTAATGCGTACAAAATGTACTATATAAAACTTTTCTGCATAACGTGCGTTATAAATTAATTCGATAAATGTCATACAAACAATCGAAACATAAACATTATACAATACGATTGAATATGACTCAATCTATCTATCAAAAAGTAGCGATTACAGTAAATATTATTGTCATTTTTCATATAATTTTATATAATATTATATTTATCTAATATTTTATTACATATTTTAGAAGCAAATAATCTTATCTAAAATATCAATCATAAAAATCTTATTTAATTCGAAATGCGAATTTCTATACTTAGTCCATTATTGCGTACAAAATGTATTATATAAAACTTTTCTACATAACGTGCGTCATAAATTCATAGCATGAGCTTTTTTTATTCATTGTTTATGTTCAACTATTCATATTGTACAAATTATTGATTTCAACATGTTATTCAACTCTTACTCCGCTACAATTCAAACTGGCTATCTTGGTAGGGAAATTATGCGATACAAATATCTTGATCAGATCTTGGATGTATTCATCTGAGTTGCTTGGTAGCAGCAAAATAAATACGTATCCACCTGCGCGGATGGCGGTGATTTTTGCTCCAAGTGAAGAATTTCGCGCAATTGAGCAAATAGCGTCTATGTTTGGATGTGATGTGCCTAATGCTTTTAGTAGTCCTTGATTCATGTGAAAGAGATCCTGCAAAGTACGTTAAAAAACGATTAAAATTATCAGCGTATAGCTATGCACGAGAACAATAATGACGATAATTTTAAAAGATAATTTTAAATATGTGCCTTTTCTTTCAGCACGCGGGACCAACGCCAAAAACATGCAGCTAAATTATATTAAAATTCGTAGAATGAGACTTACTATTAAATTTTTATAATAGTTTATGAGACGAACTGAATCAGTTTCAACGACCTCTTGCTGTTTTAAGGAAAGTGTTTCTCTTTTAATCTCCTTAAAGGTTTGAATAAGTTTTTTCCTTATAGTCTTGATACTATTTAGAATAACATCAACGGAAGAAGATAAATACTCTGTCATGCTCACTTTCATTTCCACTTCCATTTGCTCGATTTCCTGGCTAACATGTGAAAAGACCAGCAGGATCTTCATGCTCGGCAGGTCAGAAAAATAATTTAACTTTTTTAACAGTTTCTTTTTTTTAACTACCTGTATCATGCCATACGCAGATATTATGACGTTGATTATATTTGAGGAATTATATACAATTTTCTCACAAATGTGAGCATATTTCTCGATATGTACAAGATCTTTAGATTTAAATATGTAACGGACCTTTCCTTTCTGCAGGAGATACCAACGAAAAAAACATGCCGCTAAACATACTATAAACGAGGTGGAACTGCCCAAACCCTCCCCAATCGGTAATTCCGATGAAAGTTCCACAACGAAAGATGAGTTTATAATGATGTTTTTATGATAGCTGATAGTAACAAGAAGAAAAAAGAAAGCTTGTAAGCTTAACTGATGTGCGCGATTGTCGGGATCGTAATTGCCGGGAAAGCCAGTTAAGAATTTAATAAAGTTTTGTACTGATTGAAGCACCTGAAGAGGATTAAGTGTCCGATTGTAATTTTTTTTGAAAAAATGTAAGAGAAATATGCGTAAAGGTATCTTCATGTGTAATCGGATACTGGAAAATTTTATTTCGATAAAATCTTTTTGAACTGCTTCTGTAGGAAATGATGAGAATGTAAGTACGGTACGCATGTCTAAGCTGGCTGCTACACAACTTTTTTTACATTTTCCACATAAAATCACCGTGCCCGGTGCAGACACATTGAATCTGTACATGACCTTCAAGACGAAAAATTTATTTATAATTCGAAGAACAGGCGTAATGTCGATTGATTAATCGTAATAAGTCAGAGACAAAATCCGTTAATCCTGTAAATATGAATTCTATTTATCAAAGCAACAAAATTGTTCACTAGTATACTCTTATTATATATCAATTAATGAAATGCTAATTACGACAAATGTAATTCATTACCAATTCGTTATCGATTCTCTGTGATTCATGCGTGGAAAAGATCCAATAAGTTTCAACTCACAATCAGATCAGTTTCTCGGTTTATCCTCTTGATTTAATAGTGTCAGCAAGACAATGCCATTTATCTTCACTTTATTTATGTACAAACCTGGATTACATATTCTTCATTATTGAAATTGAAAACATTAGGGTATGTATATGCAGAATATTGCTTTTAATGTAATATTAAGAACCTTGTCTTGATACTTGATGAAATCGAAGATGATAAAATTTAACAATTAGAAGATTTGCAATGGTCAGATTGACCTGTCGTCATATTTAGTATATGTAGAACTAAGGACAATGTCTTTTCAGAGCGTTAATAATGTTTATAACTAGAAACGATTTCTCCTCAGTAAGGATAATATAGTTTAATAATCTCAAATTACACAAACAATCATTTACAATAAATGTAAATACAACTTACATACTTAAATTGTTAACACGCGCGTATACAATTATAACATAAAATTTAATTTTTTTTCATATCGTGTGTTCGTAAGGTGAGTTATTCATTATTTATACTTAACTATTGATATTACGAATAAGTTATTGATTCCAACATGCTATTCAATTCTCAATCCGTTGCAATTTAAAATGGCTATTTTAGAAGATCAATTTACGTCTGGAATGTCCTGGTAAGACCTTGAATGTTTTCATCTGTGCTATCCGATAACAAAATAAAATTACTTTCATTGCAATCTTTCCAGGGAATAAAAAATTTTGATCAATTGAGCAAATAATGTCCAAATTTACGATATGCCTAATGATTTTAATAGTCCTTGATTCACATGAATAATATTCTGCGAAATATATTAAAAAGTAATTAAATATTTTAGCGTACGTACGGAACTCTTCAAGAAACAATTACTACAAGTACGTCCTGTAATAAAATTATACCAAAGTAGGTATCGAAGTTCGGATAACAAGACTTACCAATGTTTTATAGTTCCAATGTTTTATTTATTATATTATAACAAGACTTATCAATGTTCTATAGTACCAATGTTTTATCTGTTATATTAATAGGTTGGCTGTTATTACACTTTTTCAAACAATTGTGTGTCTTTATATTATTAATATCAAGCATGTGAATAAACTTAGTTGATATTACTTCGACATTATTCAAATTAAAATCGATTAACATAGATGGATTTTTTTACGCTTCAAAATTTATACTCTTTTTGCTTACCAACTCGATTTTCGTTTTCTGGCTAATATTCGAGAAGATTAGCAAGATTTTGAAGCCTAGCAAATGAGAAAAAGACTTTGATGTCAACATACAATACATATTACCTCTCCGTCGAATATTTTTATCATGCTGTACGTGGATGTTATGATACCGATGTTAGTCAAGGAATTGAATATAATAAAATCACAATCTTGAACATAATTTGAGATTTTCTTGAAATCTTGTTTGACGAATTCAAGAGGTCAATTCCTTTCTGCAAAAGATATCAACGCCAAAAGCACGCTGCGAGACGTACTGCGAACGATGTCGAAATATCCAAATCTTCTCCGATCGGCACTTCCGTTAACAGTTTTACAATAAAAGATGATAATATGTTGATATCTTTTTAAAACTTATAAGGATTGAAGGAAAAAGAATGCATATAAACTTAATTGAGTTTGGTTGCTAGGTTTGTATAAGTCGTCATAATCCGTCATGGAAGTGATAAAATTTTTTACTATTTTATGCAACAAAAAAATAAATAATTGTAATTTTCGCCAAAGAAGTGTATGAAAAACTAACGTAAAGCTATTTTTATTTGTAACTGGATATTGGACCGTGCGGACAAGTTGAACTTGTACATGCCTTTCACGAAATATTTATTGTCCAAAGAGCAGGTGTAATGTCGAGTGACAGATCGTAAAAATCAGACACGTAACTTGTGAATCCTGTAGATATGAATCCTGTTCAATAAAGCCAAATAATCGTTCACAAGTACTTAATATCATACATTCGTTATACATTAATGAAACATACTAACTTTATTACTTTTTTTGTAAATTAATGAAGAATACTGATCGCTACAAATATAATTCATTTTACTAATTTATTATCAATTTTTTTACGATCTATGCGTGGATGAAATCTAATTCAACTTTACTCAGTTTTCTGATTTGTTTTTGCTAATATTGTCAGAATATACTGCAAATTATATTTATTTTTTGTGTAACTCTGGAGTTATTATTAGCTGCATTCTGCAGAAAAAGCAGTTTTGTAAAATTCTTTTATATATTGGGTCGTCCGGAAAGTCCGTGCGTATTTTCCGCGTATTTGTCATTTTTTATCTTATAGCTTTTCATTGGATCAAAATATATAAATCAATTATATTCAAAAATTTTGCGAGAGTTGTAAAACTGCTTTTTCTGCTGAACCGAGTCATTGAGAACGATTTCTTTTTTATGAAGATAATTTAATTCGATAAATAACGTACAAGCAGTTGGAACATAAACACAAATGTAAATACAATACGTCTGAATATGATAATACTCAATCAATCTATCAGTCAGAGAACAGCGATTACAGTAAATGTCATTGTCATTTTTCATTTAATTTCACGTTATAATTATTAACGTGACGAATAGGAACCTTATGATTTTATTGTTATAAAAATAATCAATTTTGCATATAATATAAGTTAAAATAATAAAATATTTGCTTATAATTAGGTAATAACAATATTAAATCTATTTTATTGTATGTGTAAATCATTTATTATATTATGCTTATTACATACATTTTTATGTTTTTATATATAAATATATATATATATATATTTAAATATATATATATATTTAATACGTATTTTATTACATATATTTAGAAGCAAATATCTTATATTATTTTATTAATATTTTATTATTTTATCTAACTCGATAAATGCGTATTTCTATACTTGTCCATTAATATAAAATATATTATATAGGACTTTTTATAACATAACATGCTTAGTATGAGCTTTTTCAATTCATTGTTCATATTCAGCTACTCATTACTGAGTAGTGCTAATTATTGATTTCAACATGTTACTCAAATCTTACTCCGCTCCCATTCAAACTGGCTATTTTGGCAGGAAAATTGTGTGACTCAAAAATCTTGATCAGATCTTGGATTAATTCATCTGAACTATTTGGTAACAACAAAATGAATACGTATTTACCTCCGCTACTAACGATTTTTCCTCCAAGTGAAAAATCCCGCGCAATTGTGCAAATAGTATCCTGGTTTGGATGTGATGTGCCTAATGCTCTTCGTAATCCCTGATTTATGTGAATGAGATCCTACAAAGTACGTTAGAATATGTTTAAAATTATCAACGTATAGCTATGTATGGGAAAAATAATCACGATGACTGTAAGAGACAGTTTCAAACAAGTGTATTAATTAAATTATATCAAAATTCATAGAATGAACTTACCGCTAATTTTTTATATAAGTTTATCAGATGAATTGAATTAATTTCATCGATCTTCATCTGTTTTAAGGAATATGTTTTTTCGTCAATCTCTTGAAGCGTTTCATTAAATTTTGTCGATACAGTCTCGATACTTTTTAGAACAAAAGCAACGGTAAAAGATAAATGCTCTTTCACTTTCATTTCCATGCTTTGCTCAATTGACTGGCTAATATTCGAAGAGACCAGTAGGATCTTTATGCTTGACACGTCAAAAAAACTGTATACCTGCGAATTCTCGTCCAACATTTTTATCAGGCCATACGTGGATATTACGGTGTCGGTTATATTTGAAGATTTGTATACATAATTTTCACAATCGGTGGCATAATTCATGATATGTTGGAGATCTTTAGGCTTAAATGTGTCGCGGATCTTTCTTTTTTCCAGGAGATACCAACGAAAAAAACATGCCGTTAAACATACTACAAATGAAGCTGAACTACCCAGACTCTCACCAATCGGTAATTCCGATGAAAGTTCCACAATAAAAGAGGATTTTATAATGATCTCTTTTTGGAAGCTAATACTAGCGAGAAGAAAAAAGAAACCTTGTAAGCTTAATTTATGAGTTTGGTTGTTGGGATCGTATATGCCTTCATAGTCCGTCATGGAATTGATAAAGCTTTTTACTTTTTCATGTAACATAACAGGAAAATATATGAAACCGTAATTTTCGTCAGTGAAACATCTGTAATATTGGTCTAAAGGTATTTTCATGTGTAACTGGATACTGGAGAAATTTATTTCGATGAACTCTCTTCGATCTACTGGAGGAAACAATGAGAATGTAACTACGGTACGCATATCTAAGCTGGCTGCTACACAACTTTTGTTACGTTCTCCACATAAAAGCATCGTGCCCGGTGCGGATAAGCTGAACTTAAACATGACCTTCACGACAAAAAATTTATTTATTATCCGAAGAACAAGCGTAATGTCGATTGGTAGATCGTAAAATGTCAGACACAAAATCCGTTAATCCTATAAATGTGAATTCTACATATCAAAGAAAGAAAATCGTCCAGAACTTAATATATATTACTTTTGTTGCACATCAATTAATGAAACACTAACTGCGATAAATGTAACTCATTACCAATTTATTGTCAATCCTCTGCGATTCATGCGTAGAAAAAATCCAATAAGGTTCAACTCACAATCAGATCAATTTCTCGGTTTATCCTTTTGGTATCAGCAAGACAACGCTATATATCTTCACTTCTTGTACGTATAATTCTGGATTACATATTCTTCATTATTGAAATTGAAAACGTTAGAGTATATATATATATAAATAATATTAGAATATTACTTTTAACGTCAAATATTACTTTAATAGTCAGAGTCTTGTCTTGATACACACAAATCGAAGATGATAACTAAAATTAAGCAATTAGAAATGATCAATTTTCAGATTGATCCGCCGTCTTCCTGAGTATATGTAGAACTAAGAATAATATTTTCAGAGCAGAGTTATAAACATTTATAATGTTTACAACAAGAAAGGATTTCTCCTGTTTAAGGACAATTTAGTTTAATAAATTCAAACCACCCAAACAATTAGAACATAATATACAAATATAATTACTATTTATGTACAATAAGAATGATATTTTAGACCGTACATGAGAACACAATCGATAAACTAGAAGCCTATACCGAAAACTGGTTTAATATTTTTAATATTTTTAAGTAATTTCTATGTAAATTTATATACTAAATATATACAATATTTATTTAAATTGCGCACCGAAATGATTGAACTTGTAAATGCAATCAAACTACTATAGTAATATCACAAATTAAATTAATAAACAATTTAATAATTTGTTGCTCAATCTAGGATTTTATTAGAAAGATGTTAATGTATTGAAAAGCTGTAAATAAATTTATTGCGAAAAATATTACCTCGGCCAGGAGTCGAACCGGGATCTTTTGTATTCCGTACGAGCGTCCTAAATCTTTAGAATACAGCTTATATATTTAATCCGTTAACGCGCGCAGAATTATTATATAAAATTCTACTTTTTTTCACAATGTGCGTTCTTAACATGAGTTATTTGTTATTCATATTTAACTATTGATATTACGAGTAAGTTATTTATTCCAACTATTAAGCTATTCAATTCTCAATTCATTGCAATTCAAAGTGGCTATCTTCAGTACTACTAAAGAACTCAGATTAAATTAAATGTCATTTATATGTATACGTAGACGTACGCATACATACACAATTGTTAAATAAAAAGATAGAGAAATATACATAGTATGTAAATATAATTAATAATAACGTATAATTTATAAAAAAATGTTATACACAATAAATAATTTAAAAAATTCAATTTATAACCAAACATTTTGACGCTTTCATATATTATTAGCTAAAGTTAATACTTTAATATCATCTTATTATATACTCTTAATATATAGTATATATTTGTATTTTTAATATTATTTTAATAACAGAGAATATATATTAAACTCTACAATATATCTGTACATCTCTGCATATTTGTTGTAATTAAGTCATCTTAACAATACGTTGCTTATATATTTATTTGCCCATAAAATTGTTAATTTGATCGTTATTCTCTTATTTCTCTACAATTCAAAGTAACTATCTTAGCAGGGAAATTATACGACTCCAATATCGTGATAAAATCGTGGATGGCCTCATCTATGCTATTCGATAACAAAATGAAAGCGTATCCACCTTCACCCTTTACTCGCAAACTTCTTCGCGAATGAAAGACTTCGAGCAATTGCGCAAATAATGCCCAGGTTTGGATGCGACATGTCTAATGTATTCAGTAATCCTTGATTCATGTGAATAATATCCTGCAAAATACGTTAAAAAATAATTAAAGTTTCCAACGAATAGCGATATATGGAAATCTTTAAAAGACGATCGTCACAAGTACGTCGTGTAATAAAATTATACCAAAAGTAGGTATACCGAACCTTAGATAATAAGACTTACCAATAATGTTTTAATTATCTGTTATATTAATAGATTGGCTGTTATCTTTTTCGAACAATTATATATTTTTATGTCAATAATATCAAGCACATAAATAAACAGTTGATATTATATTGATATTACTTCGATACTATTCAGGAAATCGATTAACAAATTTGGATTCTTCAACGCTTCAATTTTTATACTCTTTTTGCTTTTCGTTTTTTGGTTAATATTCGAAAAGACTAGCAGAATTTTTATGCCTGGCAAATTAGAAATAGACTTTGATGTCGGCGTATTTATTACCTCTCCGTCGAATATTTTTATCGTGCCATACGTGGATATCAATCTTAGTCGAGGAATTGTATAAATAGAATCACAATCTTGAGCATAATTCGAGATCTTCAGGAGATCTTGTTTGCCGAATTCGTAGAGGTCAGTCCTTTTTTGCAAAAGGGACCAACGCCAAAAACATGCCGAGACATACCGCTAACGATGTTGAAATGCCTAGACTCTGTCCAATCGGCAATTCCGTTGATAATTTCACAATAGAACATGATGATATGTTGATATGTTTTTTGCGACTTATAAGAATGAGAAGAATAAAGAATGCTTGTAAACTTAATTGATGAGTCTGGTTACTGGGTTTGTATATGCCATATAGTCATGGAAGAGTAAATAACATTTTTTACTATTTCATGCAACGTAACAACAAGAGAATAAGTAATTGTAATTTTCGCCAAAAAAGTGTATGAAAAATTGACGTAAAGATATTTTTATGTAATGTGTAACTGGATACTAAACCGTGCCTGGACAAGTTGAACTTGTACATGCCTTTTACGAAAAATTTGTTATTCAAAAAACAGGTGTAATATGGAATGACAGATCGTAAAAATCAAACACGTAACTTGTGAATCCTGTAGATATGAATCCTATTCAATAAAGCGAATCGTTCAGAAAATCGTTCACAAGTACTTAATATCATACATTTGTTATATATTAATGAAACACACTAACTATATTACTTTTTTGTAAATTAATCGGAAATACTGATCGCGATAAAAATATAATGCATTTTACTAATTCATTATCAATTTTTTACGATCCATGGAAGAAATCTAATAAGATTCATCTTTGCTCAGCTTTTCGACTTGTTTTTGTCAATATTGTCAGAATATACCCAAATTCATTTTTTGTATAACTCTGGATTTATTATTAGCTGCATTCAGCAGCAAAAAGCAGCTTTGTAAAATTCTTTTATACGATTTGTCATGCCCTTATAATTTTCACTGGATCAAAATACATAAATCAATCATAATCAAGAATTTTGCAACAGTTGTAAAGCTGCTTTTTCTGCTGAATCGAGTCATTGAGATTAAGAACGATTTCTTTTTTTTGAGGATAATTTAATTCAATGAAACAGGCGAACAAACAGTTGGAACATAAATACAAATGTAAATACAATACGATTGAATATGACTCAATCTACCTATCAGAAAACAGCAACTACAGTAAATGTAATTATCATTTTCCATTTAATTTCAAGTTATATTTATTAACATGACAAATAGGAACCTTATGAGTTTATTGTTATAAAAAATAATCAATTTTGCATATAATATAAAATAATAAAATATTTGCTTATAATAAAATAATAATGATATCAAATTTATTTCATTATTGTACGTGTAACTTATTTATTATATTATGCTTATTATATACATTTTCATGTTTATATTATGTGTATATATATA